AGGAGGGCACATTTTGGGATGAGCACAGGATGTTGTATGGAAACCAATTTGACAATAAATTTCATATTAAAAAATAATAATAAAAAACAAAACAAAAAACTCTGGGTGTGATAACATTGGTCTGAGAGAGGCCTGGTTCCAACTTGCCTGAACTGTGAACTCAGGTGTGTGGGTGGTTGAGCTAAGATTCAGGGCTGGTACTCTGAAAATCTGGGCAGGTTAAGGTAGGAGCACATGACTGAAGGCTTTGGCCCTGAGATGTGTGGTGTCCTCTGTGAGCATGTGCAGCACTTGAGGAGAAAACTCTCTCTGCGCATGCGCTCGGGGGAGCCACTACTAACCATGAAGTCTTATACTGCGCATGTTGAAAAGTGAGCCAAGAGGGGCAAGTAAAGATGTCACCCTGAGTCTTATGCCCACAATGCAAGTGGGCAAGATATTCATACCATGTGAGAAAAGTGATCAAAATAAAAGGTGATACTGTGTGGTGTTAAATGATGAACTGATGTACATTCAAATTTTCAAGAATTCATTGGACCAGTAAATTTGTCCATTCAAATGGTTAGGCATGTTCCTTCTGTAGGAGACAGTGATAAGGTTTGTCTAGAGATAATGTGGAAGCAAAGGAAGGACATTGATTGGATAAACCTTCATTAGGTATCTTATTTTTAGAATGCAATTTTACACAAGGAAAAACTGCCCCAAAATTAATATAATAAATCTTAGGACTTTGGGGATATTATGGCAACATGCCTGAAAGGACAAGTAACTTATGGAGATTAGAATACCAGATAAAATGTAAATTAAATAACATGAGTGAAAAAAATACAGTGTATAATAGAAAGAGGTTAGAAAACAGAGTACTGTAGAAAAGATTTATTAGCCTGTACAAGTTGGTTTTGATAAACTATTGGCTACTTGTTACAGTAAATTACAACCTTTATTCAACAGTATTTTCCCACACACATCAAATTCTGGAAACATTATTTTCATTGTTTTTTGGCTGTTTTAGAATTATCTGCCCTTTCTTATTCATTTGCTCTTTACATTTGTGATTTGATGATTTCTATCGTGGTATACATCCATCCTTTTATCTTTTGTGTATCTACTACAGGTTTTCATTTTATGGTTACCACGAGGCTTAAAGAAAACATAATAGTCTACTTTCAGTTGTTAACAGCTTAATTTTGCATACTAAACCTCTTCCAAACCTGAAGTTATTCTTAAAAAATGTGAATGTACAATCCTATGCCACTTTAGGGAAGAGTTAGCTATCCTCTTTGTGATATCTGTGAAGATTTCATTCCAACCACATTGATTCATATTCTCTATTTCTATTGTTATTATGAAATTTCATCAGTACTTCACTAGACTGCCACCTCTTTTTCCTTAGAGACCAATTAGTAAAATATTTTATTTCTAACACTGAGAACCATGGTTAGTTTTAATAAATGGAGAAGGATGATGCTTTGAACACCTCTTTCATGAAATTCCTTCAATGTTATAACCACAAATGGCATCTCCATTTAGATTTTCTACACATATTGCACATCATATTGTCCTTCATCTTCCATGGAAAATTAGATATGCGTGAGTCCCACCTAAGGAAGGGCATCTCATATCTTTGATGCAGCAACAATCAGCCACATACTTTTACACCTCCGTAAGAATAAATGAATTTTCTAGAGTGATATGAAACTAGAAATACACTAATATTTGCTAGTCACAAATCTTAAAGGTCAATGTAAAACAAAAACATATTGAAATTATACCTATGCAAAAATCTATCTCTTCTATCTTTTGAAACAAAATAGCATATACATTTTCTAAGTGTTGAACTTTGCATTATTCCTTATAAATCTTTTGATGTAATGTCTGAATAGAGTGACTGATGTGCTGCTTTCTGTGAATTTGTGACATTTGATATTCAATTAAATACATTTCTAAATAGTTATATCTTCCAAGTTACTTTATTTTTTTTTTTTTATGTTTTCTAAAGTTTATATTTAAAATGAAGGTCTTTGCTAATTCACTACATTTGTAGGGATTGAACCAAGCGTTCATTTTGGGGTACTCATGAATAACGATCGAATGGCAATTAAAGGCTAGGCTACTCTCTTTACATTTTACAGTTTTTTCTTGTTTCATAACTATGATGTTAAGTACATTGTGAGTTTCAGCTAGAGGTTTGCCACATTCTTTGCATTTTGTGATGCTTCTCCTCAGAATGAACTCTGTGATGCTAAGTAAGGCTGAAGCAGTCTGAAAAATGTTACCACATTTTTCCTATTTATAGAGTTCCCCTCTAGTATGAATTCTCTGGTGTCAATTGAGACTTAAACATGGATTAAAGGGCGTGCCAAATATTTTATATTGTAAAATCATCTCTAGGACACATTCTGTGGTCAGGAATCAGGGTTTACACAGCTTAAGCATCTTATAACAGTCTTTACATGTGTATCATTAATCTCTAATATCAATTCTCTGATGTGGAGTAAGTGTTGAACATCCTTACAAATTCTCACAGTTTTAAAATCTGTAAGGTTTGCTCCAGTATGAATTCTGATAATGACTAAAGGTGGAACAGTGATTAAAGGCCTTCCCACATTTTTTTTACATTGGTAAAGATTTTCCCCACTTTGAATTCTGCGATAGTTGAGTAAGGCTGGAGTCCTGGGTAAAGGCCTTGCCAGGTTCTTTCATTTTAAAGGTCTCTATATAATGTGAATTCTTTGATGTCGAATAAGGTTTGAGTGCTGGTTAAAAGCCTTGCCACATTCTTTACAGTCGTAGGGTTTCTCTCCAGTATGGATTCTGTGATGTTGAGTAAGGTTTGACTGGTGTTTAAAGGCCTTGCCACATTTTTTACAGTCATAAGGTTTCTCTCCAGTATGGATTCTGTGATGTATAGTAAGTTGTGAATAACCATTAAAGACTTTGCCACATTCTTTACATTTGTAAGGTTTCTCTCCAGTATGGATTCTGTGATGTTGAATAAGATTTGAGTGCCTCTTAAAAGCCTTGCCACATTCTATACATTTGTAAGGTTTCTCTCCAGTATGAATTCTGTGATGTTGAGTAAGGTGTGAGTGCTGGTTAAAGGCCTTGCCACATTCTTTACATTGGTAAGGTTTCTCTCCAGTATGAATTCTGTGATGTTGAGTAAGGTTTGAATGCAGGTTAAAGGCCTTGCCACATTTTTTACATTTGTAAGGTTTTTCTCCAGTATGAATTCTGTGATGTTGAATAACTTTTGAGTACTGGTTAAAGGCCTTACCACATTCTTTACATCTATATGGTTTCTCTCCAGTATGAATTCTGTGATGTTGAGTAAGGCTTGAGCGATGGGTAAAGGCCTTGCCACATTCTTTACATTTGTAATGTTTCTCTCCAGTATGGATTCGCCTATGTCCATTTAGTGATGAGCCGTCCTTAAAGGCTTTACCACATTCTTCACATTTGTAAGGTTTCTCCCCAGTATGTATTTGCTGATGTTGAGTTGGTTTTGAGTGTGAGTCAAAGGTTTGGCCACATTCCTTACAAATGTACCTATTCTCTCCAGCTTCAATTGTCTTATGTATAGTTAGTCTTGATGACTGACTAAACATGTTCCCAGGTTTATGACATCTGTATGTGTTTTTCCCCACATGAGTCCTCTGATGATCACCAACACTGGAGAACTGGTTAAGAGCTTTCTCACATTCATTATATTTGTGAGGATTCTCTCTCATATTCTGATTATGTATAATAAGTTTTGAGCTTTGATAAAAATCTTCCCCACATTTATTATATTCAAAATGCTTCTCTGGAAAATGACTCCTCAGATGTTTGTTAACATTTGAGGTGTGGTTAAATTTTTTCTCATATTGACTGCATTGAACAATTGTGTCTTCATTATAAGTGCTCTGGTAAGTTTGTGGGGTCAACTGCTCGGTAAAGGACCTCCCAAATTTATGCCACTTAGCACTTTTTTCTTCATCTTGAAATCTCTGACTTTCAGAAATATTGGACTGAAAGGTCAATATAATTCTATTTTCAAAATAGTTCAAATAATTATTTTCAGCATTCACTAGGTAGGTTTCCACATCTTCCAAATTTTCATTCCATAAATATGTATGTTTCAATACTTGATTTGAGCTTTTGCTTACAGAAACACATGGCGCTGCTGAAGTGCTGGACTTAAAAAGGTTTTTCCAAAATGCTTTATATTCTTCACCATTTTGGGCACTGAGATTCTTATTATGGGCACTTGTCTCAGTTTGGATATGTCCTTCGTGATATCCTTGATGCCCTTCACTTTCACCATCATTGTCCCAGTCTATCATTAAGTGTAAATTCTCAAGGGTGCTGTGTTTGCATCTCCCCATTGACTTGTTTTGAAAAGAAGCTTCTATGCAAGACTTTGGCAGGAAGCTCAGGGTGCCATGTGAAGATACAGCTGAAAGATATCAAATAACAGAAAAGTAAAATCTTTCCACTTCCTACTTGCAGATGAATGAGCTGATGACTTCTATTATACAACCTTAATATCAGTCAGAGAAGGTCAGCAAGATGGCTGAGAAGTAATCATAAGGACTTCATTCCTCTGTGGACACATAAATTTGCACACAATGTACTGAGCACATGGCCTGATAGATAATTCTGTAGTATTGTCATGGTGTAGCACAAATCACTTTCCTATGCCTCATATGAGGCCAAAATTATCAGAAGGAAGACATTTAAATACAAAACACAAATGAACAAACTAGAATATAACAAACATAGGAGAATATCAACAGTAGGAATATTTGTTTTTCAGAACAAATCAACAAAATTGACAGACTTTTAACTAAATCAAGAAGGAATGAAAGAGAGAAGACCAACTACAATCAGAAGCGAAGAAGTGAAGGCAGACACAGTATAACTAATAGCATGGAAATAAAAATAATTTTAAGAGGTGACAATGGATAATTATGAGATTTTAAAAATCTCAACTGATCTACAACTAATAAGTAAATTGAAAAAGTTATTAAAACAAAAAACAAAACAAAAACTCTAAATAAAGACAAGTCCTGTACCAGATGAATTCTCTAAATAATTCATACAAACATTTAATGAGAAAGTACTTCATTCTCCTCAAACATTTTCAAGGAGTAAAGACAAGGGAGATTATGGAAAAACTCTCTGTAACACGAGCATTAAGAGGTTATCAACGCTAAAGGAAGATGCTACAAGTGAAGAAGACTACAAACTACTACCTGTGGGGAATAGTCATGCAAAGCCCACCAAAAAATAAAGCAAACTGGATCAAAAGTTCATTTTACCATTTTATAGCATAGTCAACTGTGAATTCTTCCTGGAATTCAAGGGTGTTTCAACATATGGAAAACTATCAGTTTAAAACTTCAAATTAACAGAATGAAGATCAAAAATGCTATGATCATATTAGTTACAGAACAGGAAGTGAGCATTGAACACCATTTCATGATTAAAAACACTCAGTAAAGCAGGAATACAATGCAACAGCTGCAACCCACTAAAGGCCATGTATGTAGGAAAAGCTGATATCTCACATATTATTCAGTAGTATAAGACTGGAAGCTTTTCCTGTATGATCAGAAACAAGGTAATGAAGTGACTTCACCACTTCCATTCAAAATAGTACTGTATGTTTTAGTCAGAACAATTAGGAAAGAAAAGAAAAATTAAAGAACTCTAAATTAGATGAGAAAAAATAAAATTATTTCTGTTCACAGATGATAATCTACAGAAATCCTAAAGAATCCTTATTTTTATATTTTAGTTGTGTTATTCTTTTGGTCATCACTTGCATTGTTTATTTCTAATAATTTTATCTACTGAACACTCCAATTTCAAATTTTGTATGCTATAAATGTTTAAATTGTTTGTTTCAACTTCAATAAATAAATTATTTATTTCAATAAATAAATAAATGTTTATTTATTCTTGAGAGACAGAACCCAAAGCAGGCTATGCACTGCCAGAGTGGAACCTGACATGTGGCTTGAACTCATGAACTCTGAGATGATGACCTGAGCCAAAAATCAACAGTAGGACACTTAACCGAGTCACCCAGGTGTCCCTCAACTTTATTTTCTTAACCTTACACCACAAGGAACTAGAAAAAAAAAGAACAAATATAGGTGAAATTTAGTAGAGGAAGAAAATAACAAGGAAAAATCAGAAATAAATAAAATAGGGGCGCCTGGGTGGCTCAGTCGGTTAAGCCTCCGACTTCAGCTCAGGTCATGATCTCGTGGTCTGTGAGTTCGAGCCCCGCGTCGGGCTCTGTGCTGACCACTCAGAGCCTGGAGCCTGTTTCGGATTCTGTGTCTCCCTCTCTCTCTGACCCTCCCCCATTCATGCTCTGTCTCTCTCTGTCTCAAAAATAAATAAACTTTAAAAAAAATTAAAAAAAATAAAATAGAGAACAGAATAAACAATATAACATTGAAAGTGATACCCAGTATTTCCAAAAAATAAACATAATTGGCAATTTCTAACTACATTAACCAAGGAAAAAAGGAGAGAAGACTCAAAAACCAAATGAGAAGTTGAAGAGAAAATAACACAACAAAGAATCCAATTAGTATATAGTATGATAACAGATTACAATAAATATATATTAAAAAATCAGATAACTTAGGGGGAAAACACAGATAATTCCTAAAAATGCACACAACTTAGCAAGATTAAAATATGAATCTTAATCCCAAGGAATATGAAATCTTCTGAGATGAATAATGATTAAAATTGAATTTGAAATTAAAAACAAAACAAAACAAAACAAAACAAAACAAAAAAACAACCTCCCAGCACAGGAAAGTCCAAGACCACATACCTTCATTGGTCAATTCTAACAAACATTAAAAAACAACAACAACAACATTAATGACAATCTTCTTCCAAATCTTACAAATTATGGAATAGAGGGAACCTGTTCAAAGTCATTCTATGAGGCCAGGATTACACTGGTCCTAGGAAGGATAAATGCAATACTAGAACAAAAATGTTTGGTTTGTCATTCATAAGTATTGCTACTCTGACTTTCTTTTGACATCCATTTGCATGATAAATGTTTCTCCACCCCTTCACTTTTAATCTGCAGGTGTCTTCAGTACTCGATTGAGTCTCTTGTAGGCAGCATATGGATGGGTCTGGGTCATTTTTTGTTTGTCTTTTGTTTGTTTGTTTGTTAATCTATTCAGACACCGTAAGTGTTCTGATGGGAGTGTATAAGTACCTTTTCATTCAAAGTAATTATTGATAGATATGTATTTATTGTTGCCTTATTACTTGTTCTATCATTGTTTCTGGACATTTTCTCTGATCCTTTCTTGTCTTTTCATATTTGGTGTCTTCTGTGACCTCAAAGATTCCTTTTTAACATTTCTTGCAGGACTGGTTCAGTGGTCCCAAATTCCTTTACTTTTCGCTTATCTGGGAAACTCTATCTCTCCTTCTATTCTGAATGATAGCCTTGGTGGATAGAGTATTCTTGGTTACAGACATTTCCAATTCAGCACATTAAATACATCATGCCACTCCCTTCTGACTTTCCAAGTTCCTATTGAGAAATCTCCAGCTAGCATTATGGGTTTTCCCCTGCAAGTGAAGGACTGCTTTTGTCTTTAAGACAAATTTAAGATTTTTTTCTTTATCACCGTATTTGAAATTTTAAATCCAATGTCTTGGTGTGGGTCCACTTTTGGTTATTTTATGCAAGTATTCTGTGCCTCCTGAATGTGGATGTCTGTTTCCAGATTAGGGAAGTTTTCTGCTATTTCTTGAAGAAATTTTTCTACGCTTTTTCTCTCCTTATTCTGGAGCTCCTATATTAAGAATATCATTACTTTTTTTTTGGTAACATTTATTTATTTTTGAGAGACAGAGAGAGGCAGATCATGAGCAGGGGAGGGGGAGAGAGAGACACACACACACACACAGAATCTGAAGCAGGCTCCAGCCCCTGAGCTGTCAGCACAGAGCCTGACGTGGGGCTCGAACTCATGAACTGTGAGACCACAACCTGAGCTGAAGTCCAATGCTCAACTGGCTGAGACCCTTAGGCTCCCCAAGAATGTCATTACTTTTGATGGAGGCAGTGAATGCCCTAAATCTATTCTGATACTGGATCATTCTTTTCTCTTTCTTTTGTTCAACTTGATTAATTTCCATTATCTTGTCTTCTAGGTCACTAATTCATTCCTCTGTTTCATCCAGCCTGCTGCTCATTGCAACAAGCCAATTTCCAACCTCATTTATTCACATTCTTTATCTTTGTTTGATTCTTCTTTAACTCTTTTTCCTCTGTGGTAAAGTTCTCAAAGGGCATCTGGGTGGCTCAGTCGATTAAGTGCCCAACTTCGGCTCAGGTCATGATCTGACCCCATCAGTCTGTGGGTTTGAGCCCTGCCTGAGGCTCTGTGCTGACAGCTCACAGTCTGAGCCTGCTTTGGATTCTGTCTCTCTCTCTCTCTCTGCCCCTCCCCTGCTCACGCTGTCTCTCTCTCTCTCTCAAAAATAAAGTAAGGTTCGTGTGATTCTTTTCTCAACCCAGTGAATGTCCTTATGATTAATGTCTTATATTCTCCATTTGGTTTGTTACTGATAAATGTTTTGCTTAGATCTCTGGCTGAAGCCACATCTTGTTCTTTCATTTGGGAAACATTCTTCCATCTTGGCACTTTGTCTAAATCTCTGCCTTCCTCTGGAAGTTAGAAAAGGCAGTTCTATCTTCTGTTATATCCTCCAGGCCAGATCCGCGGATGCTCTCCTTGCCTGCTGTGAACAGTATTTGGTCCCTCGCCTGAATGTGGCGACTGTTCACTAGGTGTGGTCTGGTCTCTTTGTGAAATCAGACCTGATACCGACTCCACCAGAACTGAGGCCCTGCAGAACTATCTGGTCAGGAAATGTGGTGTGGGCAGCAGCTTGTGTATGTCTCCTGGAGAGGAGCTGACCTTTTTGAGCCTGAGGCAAGCTTGAATCAGGATGGTACTCCCACCACAGCATGGGGTGGGGGTGGGGGTGGGGGGAGGTTGGTGTAACCAACTTAGACAGCCAGTGTCCCCACTAAGCTGCTTCACTCAAGTGACTCTATGTTTATTCTGAGGAGTGGGGAGGGAAATGGTGTCACCCATCTCCTTTGCTCTCAAGCAGGCATCTCAGTGAATGTTGCCTCTGAGGGTAATGCTCCTAGAATAGTGAATAATCTCATGCCTGTGTGCTCCTAGTGTTCTTCAGATCATTGTTTCTAAGCTGTCTGCCCCCGGGTAGTGTACCTGCCTTCTCTCCAGGTGCAATGCAGTGGCTATTTGTCTCCACCTGACTGTTAAAACTCTAGGCTTTAAGCCATAATAGTTTTAAGAACTTATGAAGTATAGCCCCTCTCATTTGCCACGCCACTGGCTTTGGAGAAGCATTCTCCTGAATTCC